AAGTGCTGGGATTAATGGTGTGCACCACCATGCCTGGTTACTTACAAATTTTTGTTATCCAATTGGCTCCATTAGAGTATAAGCCTGATGATCAGCACAGGCTCTTAACTCTCCTATAGCGTAGCACATGACACTGGGCTTGCATCCACAAAGGTACTTGTCACTACGCATTGGCCCCGCAAATGGGAGGCTCCCTGGGAGGCAACTGATACCTGATAATGTAGGAAACTCAAGGTGTCCTCAGTCAGCAGCAGCTGGTAGGCCTCTTGGATAGACAGTGGCAGGTCTTGGTAGAAGAGCTGAATAGAGCCCTGGAAGAGGACCAAGAGCTTAGTTGTGTGTATCCTTCCTCCAGAGCCTAAGCCAAACGGGGTCAGCTCCTTGGCTCTGACCCTCTCCCCACACACCTAGCATCACTGCACGACCACGACCCACTAGGAAAGAGGATTAGTGTCCCCGCTGCTTGTGTGGCACTCTTTCCTGTCCTCCAAGTCCGCCTGTAAGTTCACTGAAAACGTACTTCTGAAGTCTTTCTGGTCCACCAAAACACATCCTTCCCACGCCTTTAGTCTGCACCCCTTGTCCGCAGCCCCAGGCCCCCACTCACACACTCCAGCAGATACAAGGCCTCTTCGGGGTGCAGCCGCTGCCGCCCTTGCTCGGAGTAGCCCATGGTCTGCCAGAATTTCCCCTGCGGGGAGCAGAGCGAGGGTCACGGGGCCGCGTGGGGGGCAGAGGAAGGGGGTCCCCAGCCGCCGGGATGCTCGGGGCGCTCACCGCAGGAGACTTCAACTCCACAAAGCCCTCCTCGGGTCTCCACTCGGCGGCCACCAAGCTGCCCCTGGCGAGGAGTGGGGAGGGGGCGTCTGGGTCTGCGCGGGCAGTCCCCGGCCTCCGCGCCCCCCACCCCGGCCCCGGCCCGCCCCCCAGCCCCAGCCCCGGCCCCGGCCCGGCCCCTCTCACAGGCGCTCCACGCGCTCCTCCGCCAGCAGCTGCCACAGCTCCTGGCGACAGAGGCGCAGCCGCTCGGCCTGGGCCTCCGAGCCGTCGGGGAGGAAGTCCTTGGGGCCATGCGACCGCTGAGGCAGCTTCTGGGACCGCGAGCGCGCCGCACGGAGCTCCGAGGCGCTGAGGAGAGCCGGGGACACGCGGTCAGCACCAAGGCTCGCTTCCGGATCCCACGCACCCCCTACGCCTCCCCCCGGACCCCCGGGCCGGGGAGCACCTGAGCACACGCCCCGCGGGAACCTCCACGGACGCGGGTTCGGGCTCGGGCTCCGACTCGGGCTCCATCGGGCCGCCGTCTGCGGCTGCGCGCGCGCCGCCCAAGCCCCGCCCACCTCTGGAACTCCGCGCGGTCCTAGCGCCCGCGGGCGCGCCCTGCGCTCCACCGATCGCAAATCCGCCGTGGGGCTTCGCGCCTGCCTTCCTACCTGTCCTGCGTCCTAACGCCTGTCGGCACCCGTGTCCCTCAGTCCGCGGGGCCGGGTTCGGTCTGCAGGTCTCCAGATGTGCAGAAACTCACCTGTTGTGTTTCCAGCGCTTCTGGGGGCCCCTCTCTCCAGTAAAACTACCCGGCCCCCGGGAATGTGGTATGAATAATCACACGTGGGACCGTGCTCTCTGCAGCCCTGAACCGCCTAGTGCTCTGCCACAAGAGGAAAGAGATGCGTGCAGAGGGGAGAGCAGTGAGTCCTCGAATACCAGCTCTGCAAACTGGAGTCCCTGTGGGAATGTCGGGAGTGGTCCGGAGACATTCGGAGTTGCTTCAGGATGGGCCAAAAAAAAAAAAAAAATCTCTTCAGAGGAGCTCGGAAGCAGGGTTCAAAGGCCAGGGGTGGGAGGCGCTGTCCGGCTCACCCTGGTGCTGAATCGCCACCCCAGCCTCCAAAAGCACCTCCTCAAGGCTGGGGTCCCCGCCGTGACCCCGCGGGTCGTTCCCACGATCACCACTAGGTGGCACCATTGCTCCAGCCAGCCGCCGCGGGTCAGCGCCTCCGCTCGTGGGCGACGGTCGCTGCGGGGAACCCGGGAAAAGATGGGGCGAGGAGGAAGGGGTCCCCGCCCCTGCGGGGTCCTCAGGCTCAGCCGCCAGGACATCCTATTTTCTCCCCTACTTATTCACAGCTCATTTTCTGGTCTAGACTAGAACCCAGCGCTCTCGGGATCCGCAGCCGGGACACAGGGGCGTGAAACTTCACCTCCCTCTCACCAGCCACTTGGCACCCCCAAGCCGCTTCACCTGCGCGCATGCGCTGATCCCAGTGGCTCTGATCCCGACCGGCTGACGGGGGCGGGGCCTAGTGAGGATTGGGGCGGGACTCGGGGTGCTGATTGACAATCCGACTGTGCGGCTGGGACAGTCCCCAGCTCCCGATCCGGCGGGAGGGAGGGGGGAGGGGCGGGATTTCCTGCGGGAGGCGCCGAGCCGGCCTTGGAAAGGAGGAGAAAGGGGTTGCGGGTGTGGGGGACAGTGGAAACCAGCGTCCAGAGTGCCTGGGACTGAGCACGGCCAGCCGGACCCCCGGCGGGGCGGCCGGGAGAGGTGAGGCTGCGTGGCCCCGGCTGGGGGTCAGAACCCCTGAGAGCATACGCAAACTAACTTTCTTGTCCGATCGGCGGGCGCCTCCATCTCTGTGCTCCTTCCGCCTTCCTCGAGCCCCGCTTTTCGTTCTCCTCTATCTGTCCCTCGGACTCTTGACTCTGCGGGTCCTTCTTGCCGCTTTGTTCCCGGGGTCGGTCGGGGCTGGGCTGGGCTGCGGGGAGCTGCGCGGCGCTCGAGGGGCATTCCGAGGGGCGGGGGAGCCAGCCGACCCCAGGCACTGCCAGGAGCACCCTCCCCCGGCGCGGTCGCGGGTTTTGTGGAGGAGTGCCCTCCGGCTTGGGCTCGGGACTTGGGAGGAATGAGGGGTTCCCCACCTGGGCCCCAGGCCTGCCTGAGTCTCATGCCACAAGATTCTGGCAACAAAATCACCGCCACCGAGGAACTGACTTAAGGTTTTGTGCGGGAAGTCGAGCGCTGGGGTTTCAGGTTCAGGCTTGGGAGGCAGTTGGCTAGCAGTGTCCAAGCCCTGCCTGTCCTGGATCTCTACCCAGCTGCTGCCTCACACTACAGAAGCCGCAAGGACGGCTTAGCAACAGGTGCTGTGGAACGTCCCTATCCGACAGGTAGACCTCGCCCGGAAAACGAGGGGCAGAAGCTCCCCAGCCCACCCTCTAAGTGGAGCTGGGATGTTCACTTTAAAGTGGAGCCTCGGTGGTGAGGAGTCTGAGGGCAGACGCCGTGGACAGGGAGTGACCCCTGCCCATTTGCCTGTGCCACTCTCACCTTTTGGCTCCGCCTGTTGTCTGTGGGTGTCAGAGCCTGGGGCTGTGGAGAATGGGCAGCTGGTCCTGCCTACCCCAGTGTCTTCTGCTGCCAAGCCCCCCCCCCCCCCCCCCCCCCCCCCCCCGCGCCCAGGGTTGAGGTGCTGCCCAGTGCCGTGGGGGCACAGGCAACTCAGCCTCTCCCTCCTGGAATGCCACCCTCTTCCCTTTGCATGTATATGCTTCTCTCAACACAGCAGCTTCCTCCCCTCCCTGAGTGGCTCAGCCCCTCCGTGACTCCCGGGACACCTAAAGTGATTTGGGGCTCTCTAGAGTCCTGTCTTGGTCATCTTCTGTGTCCTGTTTCCTGGCTGTGACCCAGCTTTTCAGAGGAGGACCTGTACCTTTTCCAGACCCCCCAGGACTTGTCCACGGCTGCTGCCTCATGCCGAAGGGAATGCTGACTGCTCTCTGGATGGGCATTGGTGCTTCTGAGCTAACCCAGGAAAATTGGCGGGCCCAGTCCCGGCCCATCCCAAGGCCGACGGAAGCTGCAGGCTGATCTTAGTCCAGATTTCCACACAGCCTCCACCCCCTAGAGACTGGCTTTCCTGTCTGTGGTGGCAGTTCCCAGAGCACCTTGAGGGACTATACCTCTGCCTGACAAGGAGCCCATTGCCTGGGACACCAGATTTGTTTCCCCAGGACCAGGAGTCCTCCAAAGCATTGAGGCATGGCGAACTGACACTTGGTTGGACCCGAGTCTTGCCTCTTCCTGGACTCTGAAGCCCAGAGCCTGGCGCAGTAATCAGAATGGGTCGTGAACAGGACCTGATCCTTGCCGTCAAGAATGGAGATGTGACCTGTGTGCAGAAACTGGTGGCTAAAGTGAAAGCCGCGAAAACCAGTGAGTCCTTGGTGGGGTGACCATCTAACTGAGGCGTTCTCTGAGTCCTTGGTGGGGTGACCGTCTAACTGAGGCATTCTCTGAGTACTGACGTGGGGTGACTGTCTAACTGAGGCGTTCTCTGAGTACTGAGGTGGGGTGACTGTCTAACTGAGGCATTCTCTGAGTACTGACGTGGGGTGACCATCTAACTGAGGCATTCTCTGAGTACTGACGTGGGGTGACCGTCTAACTGAGGCGTTCTCTGAGTCCTTGGTGGGGTGACCATCTAACTGAGGCGTTCTCTGAGTCCTTGGTGGGGTGACCATCTAACTGAGGCGTTCTCTGAGTACTGAGGTGGGGTGACTGTCTAACTGAGGCATTCTCTGAGTCCTTGGTGGGGTGACCATCTAACTGAGGCGTTCTCTGAGTCCTTGGTGGGGTGACCATCTAACTGAGGCGTTCTCTAAGTACTGAGATGGGGTGACTGTTGAACTGAGGCGTTCTCTGAGTCCTTGGTGGGCTGACCATCTGACTGAGGCTGTTCTCTGAGTACTGAGGCGGCAGAGAGAAGCTCAGAGGAGGAGGGGGCAGGGGAGGGTCACTTCGGTTTGCAGGCTTGAGGAAGAAGGACTGTCCTGTTGTAAACAAGAAGGGCTTCTGTGTAAGAGAGCCAGAGAGGAAAGTGGGTCCCTTCTTGCTCTGTGTCTCCAAACAAGTCACTTAACATCTCCGAGCCGTGGAATCCTGGCCTGCTAAGTGACCGTACTGAAGTACGTTTGGTTTATGTTTTTATTTTTTACTGTGTGCCAGGCTCCGTTCTAAGTTCTGGGACCAAACTTCTGGCCCTGGAGGTTGCCTGTTGGTAGCTGGCTTTTCTGATGTGTTCTTTGGCTCTATGGGGCTTGGTTATAGGGTGGGAAAGACTACGGAGAGTGTCATGACTGCCACCACCCCCATGCCATACAACCAGAGCTTCCCTGTATTTATACCAGAACTTCATGAGGGCGTCTGTAAAACCTCTTTGGAAAAAGCGGTTGGGTTTCTGGTGTTGTTCGCTGGTTGGTTGGGGGCTTTGTGAGGCTTAGAATCCAGGACCCACACTTGGCGCGCAAGTGCTAGATCATCGCCCGCAGCGTATTCCCAGCCCCCAAAGAGAGCAGTTTCCCGGGGACTCACAACACCATCTGCCCATTACTAAAGCTCCTTTCTCCCTAGCTCACCTGCTTGTTGTGTTCCTTGGGAGTGTGTAGCCGATGCTAATTTTCTAGGGGTTTCCACGACCCTGAGAACTCTATCCCTGACCGGGCAGTAGGGCTGGGTACATGGATGGCCACTAAGCCCCACCTCTCAGGACCCTCTGTAATGACACAGCCTCTCACACCCACCCCTGGAGTAGACCTCTGGACTTTAGGACGAGCACCCTGAGCTCTTCCAGATCATGAGGCTTGTCTCCTCCAGGACTTTAGTTAGCCGGGACTTCTTCCCCCTCCTCGGGGGCTAGAGAAAGTGTTCCCTGAGGGGAGGGTCTCCTCTGTAGCATGGGGCTTTAACCCCAAGACACACCTGGGTCTTGTACACAGGAAGGAATCCCCAGGCTACTTGGAGACATCTTATTATCCCCGCCCACACCTTGGAGTGTTGGTGCCAAAAGGAAAGACGTTAATGGCGTGCACCCACCTGCACAGCAGGGTGGAGACCCAGCCATGAGGTGGAGCTGTGCCCCTGGGTCCTTTCCTCCTGGGGAATGAGTGAGGGTGCACAGGCTAGAGGGAGGTGCTGAAGTCCCCAGGAGAGGCCTGAAGGTCTAAGTGGGGGCCACTTCCCCCCCCCTCACCTCTCTGTTGCTTTTGGCCACCTGCCCGGTGGGGCCTTGGTCACACTGCCGCTGGCCTCACAGCCCTGGCTGCCTCAGAGAGTGAGGCCCATTGGAGGGTAGTAGGAGGGATTGGCTGGTGGCGGGAATCTCACAACTAGGCAGGCTTCAAAAAATGTCTTCCGTGTCCAGTGGTAAAGTCTCTAGGGGATGAAGTGCCTTCCCTCAGTCCAAGGTGTGAACTCACTCACCTATACAGCGTGCAGGTGCAGACTCGGGGTGACAGGCCCGAGCCTCCCCATTAAGTCCCTGCACCGTGCCTCCCTTCTTTGTCCTCTGAGAAGCCAGAGAGGCTGGTGACAAAGATGAGGTCACAGGTGACCTGGGTAAACTTTGGCGTTTGTGAAATATTGTAACCCCCTTGCTTCCTGTCAGGGAGGTATGTCTCTATGCATTATTACACAGATAAGGGAAGGGACACTCAGGGTTAGTGACTTGCCCAAGGTCACATAGCCCTGGGGTCAGATGAGAGATAAGCCCGTGTGCTTTCCTGTGTTCCCACAGCGATCACTGATTTCTGTTCATGTGTCACCTGGGGGATGTTCTAAATGCATAGAGTCCCCCAAATTAAAATTATGCTAACGAGCCTGGGACTCCAAAGCAGTTCTCAGAGAGGGATGAAGGACCCTGTACCAAAGCAAACCACTTTGATGGAGTCACCAGGCTCCCCTTTTCCTCTTGCCGTGCTGACTGGAAGCCTCTAGCCGATGCTTCTTTCCTTCTGCCTCCCCTGATGTCCAGCCCACACGCTCCCCGTCCTGGGTCCTCGCCGTTCACCGGCTTTGCCCCCTTCCCTCTGCCCCTCTCCATCTCCTTTTTCTGAGGTCTCCTTCCTTGACTGGAGGAAATGGATGGGCTGGGGTGACTGACTGAACTCACATCCTTTGCTTGGGCCTGAGACAGGGGTGACCCTTCCAGCCCCAGAGCCAGGCTGGAGAAGAAGGTTATGCCGCGGCGGCGGAAGTGACTGGAGCCACCACCAGGAACCAGGACCCTCCGCCCTCCCGCCAGGGTCCCCAGCCCAGTTTCTGTGAGCCTCTCCTCCGCCACCTTTCCGGCTATTGTTCTGGAAAGAACAGAGCCACCTATCTGGCCCTGCCCGTTCCTGCCTGTGTCCCTCCTGTCACATTGTCTGCCCCTCCCTAGAGGGGACACATCCAGCCACCCAGCTGCTCCATCCCAGACTCTCCAAGCCAGCGGGCTAGTGAAGGGAAGGCTCCCTGAAGGACTCTGATTCTCTTCTCTTGGGACCTTGTCTTCACTGAGGCTTAACGAGGCCCCTTGGTGGCCAAAGTCGTGCCGCCCAGGAAAGGCAGACTAGCCTTTGGGTCGTACACTTCCTGCTTCCGCAACTCCTGTTCTTTCCCTGCCCCGAATGGTTCTGTATTATAAGAACTGTCAGGTCAGAGGGGACGAGAGGAAGGCTGGGAGATCTGTGCTTCCTCCCTGCGGCCCCCACACATTCTCTCTCCTGCCCCTTCTTGGTTCTGTATTTACCTTTTTAGTGCAGAGTCCTTGGGCTCCACCTCTGTGTGTCTGCCCCCTCCCTCCCTGATGGAATGAGGCCCTGCCTTTCCCAGGCTGCTGGGGTATTTGGGGGCCCACCGGGGCCTGGGGGGCAGGCCTGGACCAGCATGCTTGGCACCTTGCCCAGCCTGGGCCGAGCCCGGCCCACTCCTTCCCAGCAGGGTGGGTTCCAGCAGGACGCAGGGGCTGCCTGTGACAAGGCTTCTCCTTTGCCAACACCTCCAGGAACTCCCCAACATGGTCTGCATGCCACTGGTTCCTCACCTGCATGTAGCCCGTCCTAGGGCGGCAGTGCCCACTGCTTCTCTGAGGGGGTCCACCAAGTCAAAGCTTGTGGGTATCAAGTTGGCAGGTGTTCCCCAAGCAGACAGAGATCCATGGAAATGCCAGAGGCCAGTTTGGGTACGGTGCCCCCACTATGATGGTCAACATGTAAGGAGTGCTCAGTCATTATTGTTGCCGTCATTCGCATGCCCACAGGGGACAGACACTGTCGTGACAGCTTCGGGGGGCAGATTCTATGATCAGCCTATTTTTTGTGGAGACCAAGTCGTGTAGGTTAAATGACCTGCCCAGATGGGCAAGGCTGGCAGGCACATGACTCGGACTGGTGTCGGTATATTCTATATGGCCCTGCCCACCAGGTCCTACTCAGGGATGCCCGGAGCCCAGCTTTGTCAACATCCTCTCTGCCCTTGAATACTTAAGGCCTCCCTCCCTTCTTTCTGTGCCTGTTCCCCTTAGCCCAATAGGACAATATGACTCTCTCCCTAACCCATTCAGGCAGGAATGCCAACCATGCGCCCCGTGGGCCTGTCCTATTGAAGGCATGCCATGCCAGTACCCCTTCCCGCCCCCTTTTGGCTCTATAAACGAGCTGGGCAGGGGCTCTAGGGAAACCAGGCTGCTGCTGCAGTGGCTTCTGTACTGTGCCCTCGAGCCATAGGGACAGGACCTGTAAAAGGCCATGGGGCAGGTGCTCTTCTGTACACCAAAAGGTCGGTTGGGTCCTTGGAGGTGGGCAATGGGAGTTCTGGGTGAGGGTATGTATGGACAGGGCAGTTGGCGCCATGTGCCCTGATGTCCCCTACCCTGTGCCCCCAGAGCTCCTCGGCTCCACGAAGAGACTCAACATCAATTACCAGGATGCTGATGGGTAAGTGTGTGCTGCTGGGGAAAGAGTGGAATTCTGGGGAGAGGCCCACAGTCCCCTCACTCAGACTAGGTCCTTGAAGTATGTTTGCTGAGAGCTCTGGGTCCTGCCTGTGTAAGGCCAGAGGGAGGGGGTCCTGCCCACCCACCTGCCTGTGGAGTTGGCCCTGAGCAAGAGGAGGGCCCCCCCTTGGGTCAGATTCTTCCTGGGCCCCTTCTCTCCCTGGAGGGTAGGAGCCCTCAGGCTTCTGCTCCCACGGCCCCCTCCTCTGGGCAGGCTGGGTGGGGGATGCTAGACAAATGGGCCTCTCAACCAAGACACTGAGCCCTTTCATGCTGTGGCCCGGCTGCTGTGCGCTCCCACGGCAGGCCTGGCAGGCACAGGGGGGCAAGTAACCCATCACTGCCGGCCCCCAGAATGAGCTTGGGGTGGAAGACTATTCACTGACACCCCCTATTTTGTGTCCCCCACGCCAGATTCTCTGCTCTCCACCATGCTGCCTTGGGGGGCAGCCTGGAGCTCATAGCCTTATTGCTGGAGGCTCAAGCCACTGTTGACATCAAAGACAGCAATGGTGAGGGTCCAATGTATCCACCGTGTGGGAAAAGGAGGGTCTCCACCGCAGCCCTGTAACCAGAGCTTGCTCCTCTTAGGACACACTAAGAGGCTGCTTCCTTCTGGAAAGAGTATGTAATTCAGGTTTCCCATTTAGATGAGGAAGCTAAGGGAGCTTATAGTCCTGCCCTGATGGTGTCGATCATCTGTGGTGGGCACAGTGAGAACTCTGACTTCAGCTCCATCCGTATACGACCCTTTCTGGACCAAACCCCGGGGGGAAGCTAGCGTTGCTGTACGGAGCTCTTCCCTGTCAGCCAGGGCGGCTCCGTCCCCTATCTGGGCTCCCTTGATCCCTCTTAGAATCCCTTTTTCCTCCTGCTAGGCATGCGTCCCCTCCACTATGCAGCTTGGCAGGGCCGCCTGGAGCCCGTGAGACTGCTGCTGCGGGCTTCAGCGGCTGTCAATGCTGCCTCGCTGGACGGCCAGATCCCTCTGCATCTGGCTGCGCAGTATGGGCATTATGAGGTGGTAAGTGAGCCAGCCTGAGGGGATGTGGGGGCACGGAGCCAGGCAGGGGCCCGCATCCAGCAGGCCAGCCTCCCTTACCTGGCTTCCCCCATCCCAGTCAGAAATGCTTCTCCAGCACCAGTCTAACCCATGCCTCGTCAACAAGCTGAAGAAGACACCCCTAGACCTAGCCTGTGAATTTGGGCGGCTCAAGGTGAGGCCTGCAGCCCTAGGGTGCTGGGTACTTGGTACTGGGTGCTGGGTGTCGGATTCTGTTTAGTCTTAGGAGGAGGCTCTAACTGGGTGCTGCACCCTATAGGTGGCCCAGCTGCTTTTGAACAGCCACTTATGTGTGGCCCTGCTGGAGGGAGAGGCAAAGGACCCGTGTGACCCCAACTACACCACACCCCTGCACTTGGCTGCCAAGAATGGCCACAGAGAAGTCATCAGGTACCCCAAGGGACCCACCCACTTCCTCAACCTCTTCCTGTGGGACCATTAGTTTCTAGTCAATGCTTACCTAGCGCTTTTTCTTTTTTAAATTATGCGTATGCATGTGTTCTGTGTGGGGGTATGTGCATGTGAGTGCAGTTACCTGCACGAGACCATAGAGCCGGAGTTTCAGGTGGTTATGAGCTACCCAGTGTGAGTGCTGGGAATTGAACTGGCCCGCTCTGAGAGCAGCACACCCTTAACCACTGAGTCATCTCTCCAGCCCTCCGCTGCTGTTTCCACTCTTGGTGTCAGTGCCACAGTCCCCACACCCCTGGCAATCAGCTTCTTCCCCTGCCAGCCACCTCACAACTCCTGCCCACCACAGGCAGCTCTTGAAAGCTGGTATTGAGATCAACCGCCAGACCAAGACGGGTACCGCACTCCACGAGGCTGCATTATACGGCAAAACCGAGGTGGTACGGCTGCTCCTAGAGGTGGGTATGGGCACAAAGACCCTACCATTATGTGTTGAGAGCAGCTGGGAAGGCCATAGTGTTTTGTGGGGTTCGGGGAAAAGGTCTCACTTCCTCTGAATGATGCGAACTCCTCGTGGCTGGAGAGCAGCCCCGACTGGCTTAGACACCAAGGCTGTCTCTTACTAGCTCATTCTTAACCTGATGTCTGAAACTTCATGCTTCTCACCTCTAAGACCTGAAAGTGACAGCAGCGCCCACCTCCTGGGTAGTTGGGAGGACTAGAGGAGAAATGTCGATCGAAGTGCTTGGGATATATTCTTGTGATCCTGTGAACCCCAGGGCGGTGTGGACGTGAATATCCGGAACACATATAACCAGACGGCGCTGGACATAGTGAACCAGTTCACCACCTCCCAGGCCAGCCGGGAGATCAAGCAGCTACTTCGGGGTGAGTGTGAGGGAAAACACCTAGCCAGGGGCTGGTGGGAGCCTTCACAGTCGGTACCAGGGTGTGGTGGGAGAGTCAGCTGGGGAGTCGAGGCTCCGTAACCGACATCTGCCCTACCCCTTCTCTTAGAGGCTTCAGGGATCTTGAAAGTTAGAGCACTTAAGGATTTCTGGAACCTTCATGACCCCACCGCTCTCAATGTCCGGGCAGGAGATGTCATTACGGTGAGGGGCCCATACATCCTTTGTAAGACAAGCAATTGCTGTGACTTACTTGGGCACCTGCTGTGGTACAAGGCCAAGTTAAGTCTCTATGCACTCTTTCATATAATCCCTTCTAAATCGAGGGAACAGAGGTACCATTTTCATTTTCTTTTTAAGAGATGACAAAGTTGAAGCTTAGAGAACTCAAATGGATTTACCCAGGTCACATATCGAGCAAGCAGTGAACTAGGAATAGAATAGGATTGCTTGTATACCCTGTGGTACAAGGAGATTGGGCTAGCATTGGTAACTAAGCAGGTCAGCTCTGTGCGGGGAAGAGGTGGACCAGGCCTGCTGGACTATTACTATAGAGACGGCCACTGCCACTTGCTTGGTATAGTGACTGTCCTTTCCATCCACACTGTCACAACAGGTGCTTGAACAGCATCCTGATGGCCGTTGGAAGGGCCACATCCATGAGAGCCAACGGGGCACAGACCGTGTAGGCTACTTCCCTCCGGGCATCGTCGAGGTGGTCAGCAAGCGGGTGGGCATACCTGTGACCCGTCTCCCCTCGGCACCTACCCTGCTGCGGCCAGGCTTCTCCCGGATATCGCAGCCCTCTGCCGATGATCCCCTGCAACCCCTCACCTATGGCCAGCTCCCTCGGGTGGGCCTCAGCCCAGACAGTCCAGGTACATCCTCCCAGAAGGCAGTGCAGGCCACTGGGCGCTGGCAAGTTGCCAGCCAGCTGTTAGCGGTGCCAACTCTGACCTTTACGCTTCTGCCCCCTACAGCAGGTGACAGGAATAGCGTGGGCAGCGAGGGCAGTGTGGGCAGCATCCGCAGCGCTGGCAGTGGGCAGAGTTCCGAAGGCACCAATGGCCACGGCACTGGCCTCCTTATTGAAAACGCTCAGGTAGGAGGGAGGGTACCTGGGCCTGGTCAGGGCCTGTCCATTGCCTGTTTTCCATGTCCTGAGTAGACTCTTCTTCTGTCTCCAGCCACTGCCCTCTGCCAGTGAGGACCAGGTACTGTCAGGCCTGCATGCCCCACCCCTGGCAGGTAAGAAGGGTAAATGGGACTGGTATTGGCTGGGAAGTACAGGCGGGGAGGTAAAGCCATGCCCCTGCCCATCCCTCTTCCAACCACTTCTGATGCCATTTATCTCCTTGAAGACAACCCGAGCCACCGCCCCCTGGCCAGTTATCGCTCTGGGGAGATCTTCACCCAGGATGTGAGGCCAGAGCAGCTGCTGGAAGGGAAGGTGAGGTTTCTACTGAGAAATATGCTTCAGGCCTTGGCAGAGAGTAGAGGACTTTAGACCTGGCCCTGGGGAAGGTATAGGCCAATGGGCTAGTCCCTTTCTCAGCTGACGTCTCCATCCCACCTCACTCCATGCCCCAGGATGCACAGGCCATTCATAACTGGTTAAGCGAATTCCAGCTGGAAGGCTACACTGCCCACTTCCTGCAGGCTGGCTATGATGTGCCAACCATCAGTCGAATGACACCTGAGGTAAGTACTTTAGCAGGTGGAGGGAGGGCGCAGCAGGCAGTGGAGGGCCCTGATGTCCGTGATTTGTGTGACAGGATCTGACGGCCATTGGGGTCACTAAACCTGGACACCGGAAAAAGATCGCCTCAGAGATTGCCCAGCTCAGCATTGCTGAGTGGCTGCCCAACTATATCCCGGTGAGCAGGTGGACAGGGTGGGGCCCTTGGCTCTTACCCAGGGCTATGGCCTTGGGAGTGGGGAAGCGTTCTTTCTAGCTTGGGGAGAGCCAGGTTTTGATGGTGGCATTCTTCCAGGTGGACCTTCTGGAGTGGCTGTGTGCACTGGGGCTGCCACAGTACCACAAGCAGCTGGTGAGCAGTGGCTACGACTCCATGGGGCTGGTGGCTGATCTCACCTGGGAGGAACTGCAGGAGATAGGCGTGAACAAGCTGGGTAAGGACCACTTGGAGGTGGCCCCTGACCCCAACCATCTCCAGCATCTCTGAGAGAACTTGGGAGAAAGGGGTCTATCCAGGGCAAACGGGGCAAGCCTAGACCCAGCTAACCCACCTGCATCTGTCTACCCCTGCCCAGGGCATCAGAAGAAGCTCATGCTAGGTGTGAGGCGGCTGGCAGAACTTCGAAGGGGCTTGCTGCATGGGGAGGCCCTCGGTGAAGGTGGACGCCGGCTGAGCAGGGGGCCAGAGCTGATGGCCATTGAAGGCCTGGAGAATGGGGAAGGTCCAGCGCTGGCTGGCCCTCGCCTCCTCACCTTTCAGGGCAGTGAGCTGAGCCCAGAGCTACAGGCAGCTATGGCAGGGGGTGGCCCGGAACCACTCCCCCTGCCCCCTGCCCGTTCTCCCAGCCAGGAAAGCATTGGTGCACGCTCACGGGGATCTGGTCACTCACAGGAACAGCCTGCCTCTCAGCCCAGTCTGGGTGACCCCAGTGCCCCACAGGAGAGGAACCTTCCAGAGGGTACAGAGCGTCCCTCTAGGCTTTGTCCTCCACTCCCTGGCCAAGGACCTGCCCCTTATGTCTTTATGTGTCCACAGAGTTCACCCTCTAGCCCAGCCCCAGGGCCCCCTCCTGGTGCTCCCCGGGCCTTCTCCTATTTGGCTGGCTCTCCTGCCGCTCCTCCAGACCCGCCTCGGCCCAAACGCCGGTCCCACAGCCTGAGCCGCCCTGGCCCTGCTGAGGGGGAGGCCGAGGGGGAGGCTGAAGGGCCAGCGGGCAGGGCCCTGGGCAGTTATGCCACCCTTACTCGGAGACCGGGACGCAGCACCCTTGCCCGGACTAGCCCTAGCCTGACCCCAACTCGAGGGACCCCCCGAAGCCAGTCCTTTGCCCTCCGCGCCCGTCGTAAAGGTCCGCCACCCCCACCCCCCAAGCGCCTCAGTTCGGTCTCTGGCTCCACCGAGCCGCCTTCACTAGAGGGAAGCCCAGGACCCAAGGAAGGGGCCACGGGTCCCCGGAGGAGAACACTGAGCGAGCCAACGGGCCCCTCAGAGCCCCCCGGTCCCGCTGCCCCGGCTGGCCCTGTGTCGGACACAGAAGAAGAGGAGCCTGGGCCTGAGGGGACATCCCCATCTCGGGGCAGCTCAGGAGAAGGGCTGCCGTTCGCGGAGGAAGGGAACCTGACTATCAAGCAGCGGCCGAAGCCGGCTGGTCCCCCGGCCCGGGAGACACCTGTGCTCCCCGGCCTTGACTTCAACCTCACAGAATCAGACACTGTCAAACGGAGGCCCAAATGTAAAGAGAGAGAGCCGCTCCAGACTGCACTGTTGGCCTTTGGGGTAGCGGGTGGTGACACCCCTAGCCCCCCTGCACCCCTGTCCTCCCAGGCCCCCTGTGAACCTCCCTCAACTTCCTCGAACCCTGCACGGTCTGAGTCTAGCAGCCTTCCGTCTCAAGGAACTCCAGCTCCTTCTCTCAGCCCCCTGTCTCAGCCCCCCAGCCACCACGGGACCTCTGCTGGGCCAGCTCTGGCAACAGGCAGTCGGCTGACTGTGGAGACAGAGCCTCCAGCTGCCCCTGCTGCCCTCCTCAAAGTGCCTGGAGCAGGTAAGAAGTGAGGCCGGTGCCGGGAGGGCTGCCGTGTGCAGGGTCACATCTAGCCAAGTCACACGGCAACCTTTTGTCTCGACAGGAACAACTCCCAAGCCTGTGTCTGTGGCCTGCACTCAGCTGGCATTTTCTGGCCCAAAGCTGGCTCCCCGGCTTGGACCCCGCCCCGTACCTCCTCCGAGGCCTGAGAGTACTGGGCCTGTGTGTCCCGGCCGGGCCCAGCAGAGACTGGAGCAAACCAGCTCATCCTTGGCAGCTGCACTCAGGGCAGCCGAGAAGAGCATTGGCACTGAGGAGCGAGAGGGGTGAGCAGGGTGCTGGGTGCGGAGCGGGGGAGAGAAGGCTGGGCTTGGCAGCATTGGGAGGGGACGCTGCAGGCCGAGTCTGGGCTAGGGAGGCCTCTAGTGGGATGTCAGAGTGGCCTACAGGCTCCTGGTGACTGTCGCTTAAGACACATTCATTTAGGCAGAGCCTCTGTCCTTGAGCCTCTGAGCTCCTCTGTAAGGGAAGGATGGTAACTCCTGCTCCTGGGAGGTTATAAACAGTAAGAGGTGAGGTCCAAGTGTGTGGCAGCAGACGCATCTCGTTAAGGCTTTCCCTTGATGTAGCCCCACAGCGACCTCTACCAAGCACATTCTGGACGACATTAGCACCATGTTTGACGCCCTGGCTGACCAGCTGGATGCCATGCTGGATTGAGCAAGAACGGCTTGTGACCCTCCCTCCCATGGTACCCACAGTGGCCTGCCAGTGTTCACCGCCTGTGGCCCATCATGGAAGAAGACCCTGGCACCCAAGGAACAGGCAGAGGGTTGGTTGAGCTGGAGTGCCCTTCCGCAGCAGAGGCCCCCCCCTGCGGCTTCCAGCAGTGGCTGTCAGGCCCAAAGGGGGCTGAAAGGACTTGTCAGAGCCTGACTGAGGGCCTCAGCTGTAAGGGAGCAAGGCCCCTCCTGTGTACAGCTGACTGCTCAGCTTTGGCCCCTGAACAGGGACCCTGGTGAGAGCATTCTTAGAGGAGGTAGCCGCAGGGCTTTCGGATGCCTGCGCCGCCCCGCCCATGTCTAAAGCCTCTGCTTAGGGAACTCTTCTGGCCACCCACTGCGCTGCTCCGGGGCTCTGGGAGGCTGTGTCCCTCCGTGCAAGTGTACATAGGTGATGTAAATACACAGCAGGGGCATGCCTTTCTGCCAGTGCCCAGTGGCCCTGTCACCTCCTGCCCGTCTGGCCATCCCACCCGGGGAGGCAGTGCTGGCCAGGGTCAGAGGCAGTGAGGTTAACAGATCCCCAATGCCCAAACTTTCACAACTGTACATAATATTTTTCAAGCAGAGAGAAATGCATATATTTTAAATGGAATTTATTCTATCTATTAACTGCCTGAGAGAATGCAGGGTGGGGGGGAAGGCCTTCACACCACAGAAGAACCTATACCCACCTCCCGCCGGAGGACCCAGTTGGTCCAGGCCCAGGATCTGTAACTATTAACCTCTTCCCCAACTAACACCAATGAAAGTGTCATTCCACGTGATTGGGCTGTGTTTTGGATCTGTTCATCAGACCTCCAAATCCGGGACTCTCCCTTCACCCAGACCTTGGGGCACTCATCAGTGTGGAGGGATGATGGCTGCAGCCTTGGGATCCATGAATCCACCACAGGTTTTTCTTAAGCAATTTACAATTTTAATATAAACCAGTTGACATTCACTCCCAAAAGGCTCATTTCCAGTAAAAAAAAAAAAAAAAAAAGAAAGAAAGAAAAAGAAAAGAAAAAAAAGAAGTAAAAAAGTCTCCCAGGACAAGGACAGAGCCTGGGCTGGGTCCTCCACGGATGACTTATGGCCAGCTGACGCAGGGGCTCCAGGGTGAGGTGGACCCTTTCCATCTTGCAGCCCAGAGGAAGGGGAGGACCTCAGGACCACAGCCGGGCTCTTGCCCCAGGAGAGGGACATGGGTGGCAGGGAGGACACAGCATCTTGCACAGCAGCAGTCACTGCTTCAACAAAAACTGAGGCTGCCATAGATGCAAGAGAGGAAGGTGTCCGGTAAGGGGACCCCAAGAGAGGTAACACACGGGAGGGGGCTAAGGGTCCCTTTACCAAGGGCCTGAGGTCATACATTCAAGAGTGCACCGGCAAAGCCAGGGGAGAGCCAGGGCAGTCCTGTAAACCACGGCTCCAACCCCTCGGCTCCTTCATGAAAAGCCCCAGAGTCAGGAAGACAGCGGGGTCTCCAGTGACCAGAGCTGTGCCTCCAGTGCCATGAGGCACAAAGACAAACCCTGAAACATTCATGATGCCAACTCCCCAGACTCAGGGGTCGGTCTGGCTCTAGCCCCAGGAACCAGGGCAACGATGGCCACCATGGCCAATGGCTCAGAAGGGAGAGTTCATGCCCAGCTTAGTTTCAAACTGCAGCTTCTGTCGCTTCTGGTAGCGGACACGGACCCTGGTGAAACAGATTAAAATACAGTTGACAACTCAGCCTGGTGATTCAGGCCTGTAATTCTAGCTTCTTGGGGGCTGAGGCAGGAGGATTACAAGGTCAAGATCGGTCTACTTAGTGAGAGCCTGTCTCAAAAAGTCAAAAGAGCTAGAGCTACAGTCAGGACAGAGTGCACCAGAGGAGCCGGCTCCCTCTCTAGAGCTACAGTCAGGACAGAGTGCACCAGAGGAGCCGGCTCCCTCTCTAGAGCTACAGTCAGGACAGAGTGCACCAGAGGAGCCGGCTCCCTCTCTAGAGCTACAATCAGGACAGAGTGCACCAGAGGAGCCGGCTCCCTCTCTAGAGCTACAGTCAGGACAGAGTGCACCAGAGGAGCCGGCTCCCTCTCTAGAGCTACAGTCAGGACAGAGTGCACCAGAGGAGCCGGCTCCCTCTCTAGAGCTACAGTCAGGACAGAGTGCACCAGAGGAGCTGGCTCCCTCTCTAGCACAGGAAAACAAAAAGGTTGGCATAACCCTTCAGACCAGAGGACTGAGCAGGACGTCAGAGCCCAGCCGAGTGCTGCCAGCTCACCGAATCTCATGCAGTTTCACAACCTCATTGGTGACTACCACAAGGACCAGGGACAGACAGCCCAGGAGCCATGTCAGCAGGGGTACATCCTCTAGGCCAAAGTGGACACGTGTGTCCCTGTGTGTCCACAGCTGCAGGTCCACAGCTGTCTGGACCACCTGGCCTAGGAGCCTGTGGAAGGAAAGAACAGTACTGTGTGAACCGAGTCATCTTGCTTTCTCCCCTGCTTTCTCGGTACAGTTAGTTCAAGGGCAGCCAGACCCCTGTCCTCCTCCACCTGTGGTCCCAGCCCTGTCCCGCAGCCCCTCCATCAAACACTACTCACACTACGGGCACCGTCACTGCCCACCAGAGGTTTGTCAAGGGGCTCTTTCTCCACAGAGGCTTGGTGCGATGTACATGGGTGATGGAGATAAAGACTAGAAAGATTGACCAGTGGGGTGTCAAGGCTTCCACTGACCCAAAGTCTTGCCTCCCACCTTGGGGCTTCCCCGTTAGCAGTCAGCAGCCCCAGTGAGACAGAGTCCTTACCTGTGTGCAGAACAATCAGGGCAGCTGTGAGCTTCTGAGCTGACAGCAACCCATTGGCAAAATCCCCAAACCAGGCCGGAGCTCTGTCATCATTGCTGCCAAAGGGAGACAGAGGCTCAGCCTCCTGAGGGCCCGCAGGAGAATGGCCTGGGGTGGTGAGACGAGACGCCCCAGGACCCACCTGCAAAGCATGACTGAGGAGCAGTTGGTGAGGTTGCGGGCCCGGGCACTGTCACAGAAGCTCTGCAGTGTGAAGCCAAAGCAGATGAGGCACGAGCTGATGGTAAGGCTGAACTTGAGCAGGAAGCAGAGCAAGAAGTAGTGCTGGGTCTGTGGCATGAAGGAGGACAGTCAGTCCTGTGCTGGACAGACCCCGCAGGCGGGCCACAGGCAGACCTGGCACCTGCTCAGCTTCTTCATGTTTTTGCAAGCTCTCTGCAAACGGTCACGCCTCAGGGAATATGGACGGGAAAGCACATTCCCAGCAAGGCTCTTTCTCAGTTTTGACCACCACCTCCACTAGCCAAGTATCAGCTCTCCGGGTCCCTGACCTCTGCCAAGCCTTCGAGGTTAGGCCTACCAGCCCCAACCCTCAGACCCTCTGGGAAGCCCTGGTAACCTGGGTCTGCTTTACTTACCTTCTTAGGAATGGATTGAAGATTTTTGCCTGTTGCCATAGACATGATGGAGCTATGTGGTGGTTTCCCCAATAGAGAGATGCTGAAATCAATGTGGGTAAAGGGACAGTGATTACCGCTGTCTCCCAACTCTCAGAGGGAGCACCCACAGGGGATCTTGGGAGGAGGTCCACTCCAGTAGTGAGGTGGGATAAGACAAAGGGGCCGTGCCTCAGTGCCGCCTTGCACCAGAAGTGATCCCTGAGTCATCTTGCTAGGAAACTCTGGGTCCCTTGGGATGCCCACTGGCACCCCAGCCCCACTGGCTGAGCACAGAGGGGCTTCAAGACCTCTCACCTGAGCAGAGGGTAACAGAAGCAGGACAGCCATAAGATGTCTGTGGTACTCAGGAGTGGTGGAAGCTGGACCAGACAAGAAAGGAACTAAACCAGGAAAGACAACGTCACCAAATTTGTAGACCCCGAGGCTACCTTGCCCTTGCCCAACAGACTCAACATCTTGACTGAGAGGAGCAGGGAAGAGAGAACACTTCTACCAGTGGGGTCATCTCCAAAGCTGAGGGGTACACAGAGGCATGTGGCTCTACTGCACCCCGACTCCTCAGACTCACACCTGTCCCTCCCTTATAAAGAGAGGGAATAGCTGTGTAGGCCCCGGCTTACCTGAATGATCACAAGGGTCAGCTGGCACTGCAACAGGAAGAGGAAGCACTTCCGGATGCCATAGGTGGCGTGCCGAGCCTAAGGACCAAGAGGGGCAGTGATGATCCAGTCCTGCCTACCTGGCCTCTCTCAGTCCCTACAACAAGCAAGCTTCAGCCAAAAGCCATATTCCCATGATGCTCCCGTGAGCAAGAGCCGTATGCCCATGGTGCTCCCGTGAGCAAGAGCCATATGCCCATGGTGCTCCTGTGAGCAAGAGCCATATGCCCATGGTGCTCCTGTGAGGAAGAGCCGTATGCCCATGGTGCTCCCGTGAGCAAGAGCCGTATGCCCATGGTGCTCCTGTGAGGAAGAGCCATATGCCCATGGTGCTCCCGTGAGCAAGAGCCATATGCCCATGGTGCTCCCGTGAGCAAGAGCCGTATGCCCATGGTGCTCCCGTGAGCAAGAGCCGTATGCCCATGGTGCTCCTGTGAGGAAGAGCCATATGCCCATGGTGCTCCTGTGAGGAAGAGCCATATGCCCATGATGCTCCTATGAGCAAGAGCCGTATGCCCATGTTGCTCCCGTGAGCAAGAGCCGTATGCCCATGGTGCTCCTGTGAGGAAGGAGCAGAAACAATTCAACTGCCTTAGGGAGCTTCCCGTGTTCCTCCCACAGGCCAGGAAGGCAGGAAGCATGAGGTCTAGGGAGCCCAGAAGTATCATGTGTTGCAACTCTACCTTCTAGGGTACTCCAGAGGGCCCTGGGCCATGCCCCAGTACCCATGAGACCCACCTGCTCAATGAGCCGGATGATGCTGATGGTCTCTTCCTGGCGAAAGGTCAGGGAGCAAGGCAGGCTGTTGAGTTGCCCTGATAGCTGCAGGGGAGAAAGGCCATCGGAGGCCTGGGCCATGGTGGTACTGGTGGCATAACCAAAAGTCTCCCAGGAGCATCGGGATGGGTACAGGGGATCCAGGGCAATGCTGCTCAGTGAAGGGAAAATCCACCCATGAACTATACTCTGTAAAAACTGTCTACCACGAGACTGGAGCATCCCATCCCTTTTCTACCAGACCCAGGTCCCTGGGTCCCAGCCAAGGCAAATCCCTAGCTACATGCAGACCTATCCACCCAGGGTCTGAGAAGCAGAGACTGGCCCACGGTCCCCGAGCCCCTCTCTGACCTGACGTCACTCTGGAGGAAGAGGCAGCTGTTCCGCAGGTTGGCAGAGCTGCCCAGGCAGCAGGTCACCTCCCCATACTCCTGCATGATCTTTATCATCTCACACATGGCTGTGGGCAGGTGAGTCACAGGAGTCAGGCAGAGCTCCGGGCGGGTGCGAGCAGCAACCCACAGGCCAAAGGGACAGGGAAGAGTGGGGAGCAGAACCCCACCCAGCAGCATGCTCACATAAACACTCACTTCAGGCTCCCTGAAATGGGCATGTCCGTAGCATCACCCCATTGGGTCCCCAGCTAGTCCCAGCCCACGTTCTTTCACTCTTTAACTTTCATCCCCTCTGAGCTCCTCGGTGCCCATCCCTGCCAGAGCGCAGAAGGCGGGCCACAGCACTCACTGTCAGGGGTACAGTCAGTGAAGAGGGGCACCAACAGCGGTACGTTGTCAATGTTCTGCAGGTGGGGCCGCACCTGATGGATGCCCCGGGGCAGCTTGGCCTGGAGGAAGCAGAGATGTCAG